GATCTGGGCTTCCGCTTCGACCCGCCCTCGCAGCGCTGCGCCGCCTGCGACGCCGGCAGGAGCCGCCTCGTCGAGACGCTCCCGGCGCTCGACCTCCTCTACGCCGTCGCCGCCAACGCCAACGCCGGGGGCTGCGCCGGCGCGGCCAGTCACCAGTGCTCCTGCGGCGCCTCCTCGGAGGCCTCCGAGCCGTCGCCCATCGGGAGCCCCCTCTCCATACTCTCCCCAGGTACGCACATTCAGTTCGGTTTCAGATTTCAGCAGAGTTCTGGTTCGGTCTCATCTGATCTGTTGATTAGATTAGACGAGCGGTCTCTGAATTTCTCTTCAACCAAACCCGAATAAATTTCGATTGTTAGAGCGATTGGAACTTTTGATCTGACTTTTCGGCGGCGGTGCTTCCCTTCCCTGCAGATGACCCGCCGGAGACGGTGAAGATGAGGCTGAAGCAGTGGGCGCAGGTGGTGGCGCTGTCCATGCGCAGCCGCTCCTGAACCAAACCACCCAGCCATGAAACGCCAACGTGAAAGCCATACCGAATTCAGAGGAGGGACAACAACCAGCAGACGCAGAAGAAAAGAATCATCCCCCCATCCCTGCCTCGAGATCGAAGAAGCAACCAATGATGATGAGCAAGCAAGCAACGAGAAGAGAATCTACCAGGTGTCGTCGGGCGATCGGCCGGCCGCCTTCCACATCTGCTCTCGCATCGCATCTTGGACTAGCTATAGCTTTAGCCTGCTGCTGCTAATCGACTTTGTGTCACATGTTTATCGTTGAGCAATTCGAAACTATACTCCGTAATCCGCACTCCCCCTGTTATAATTAGCTCCTCCTCCCCTCCCCTCCGCTGATCTTCAGCCGCGGCGGCATTGCTTCCGTTAGTAGTCACCTCCCCTGATTTCGTAGCAGTAATAATTTACTTTCGACATCTCTGTACATTGCGCATCATCGCCATCAATCATCAGCAGGTAGATTAGATTAATTTCAATTCGCGTTCGTGGAATTGATAATAAACTGTTGCCTGGTAGCAGTTGCTGTTGCTTCTTCCCCTTGCAAAATAATTTGACCAGCGATGGGTGCTGCCATTGGGTTTGCTCACCCAATCAATCCCCCCCTCGTGTCATTGGCCACCCGATCAAGCAACAGCAATCTGAAGCAGCTCACCGATCCTTTGCCTCATCTGCAATCAGCAGATCTGCCGAGACCAAGCAACGGAGATAGATTTTTTTTGTATGTGTGTGTGATTCATGATCCAGGTTTATCGTCAGGCGACAGGGTTCTGCATCGAGATTCGAGAAGGAGGATGACGACACGGATAGATACTGTGCCACCATCCTTTCTGCAGCGGTGAGGTGCAGAGAAAATTCCCTTTCTCGCGAATGACGGGACAGGCTGTGGTCCGCCCGGCCATGGCCCCCGTATGGGAACGGGAGGAAGCGAGATGGAGAGCAGGTTTCGTTGGCTGTCCCTCTCTGTCGTCGTCTCGGCACGGCGAGCTGTCCGCCGTAGCTGTCAGTGCCACCACCCATCTCTTCTCTCAATCAGTTCCGCGCCATTCTACCTAGTGGAATTCAGTAATCTACGAACGATCCGGATGGGCAAAATCTGACCCTTTTATGTTCGTGCACACGTCCGGACCCGTCCACCACGCAGCCGTTCTCCTCCTATTCAAATCCTTAAATTCGTACACAAGCATGCAACATGGATCAACACACATGCTTTCATAGTTCATACTCCCTCCGTTTGAAAATACTTGTTATCAAAATGAATGAAAAGGGATGTATCTAGAAGATTTCAGAAGTAGGGAGTACAAGACACAGGATGTTGTTCATGCATGCCATACCAAGTTAGGACGTAGCATAGGGAAGTTCATTCATCGGACCATCAAAATTTGAAATGCTCTACTTCATATGAGTATATGACTATAGACGAGGTTTGACCACGCCCCGCCTTTTCCTTTACCCTAGCCCTTACCATTGTCCTCGTGGTCGCGGAAATGGCGGTCCAAGGCGCAATGGAGGTTGAGGCGGATCTGCTCGGCGTGAGAGTTGAATGTGTCGTACACGACACCAGACATGTTCAGATCCTCTTTGGGAGAAGGCTGGCGAGGGCACACGAACGACCCGAGTATGCTCCATCGCGAGGGCAAGGACGGCCCGGGCTTGCCACTTTGAAAGATCTCGGTACGGGCATCCACGTTGCTAGCTCCACTGCGTGCACACCTTCTCCTTTTCACGCGCGAGCATGTCGTCCCTCGACCTTGGCTGCGCCTCCACAGTTACAACACACGACGCATTTGTACCCTTGGGCATTGCGGTCATTGACCTAGGACTCCAAGTCTGACGTCGGTGGGACAAGGATCCAACGTTGGGGATACACTGATTCTGCCATTTCAAGGCGCCGAGGCCTTCTGTTGTGACCCGTTCGGGCACACTCGTGGGCTACGGTGACGGTGCGAACACGCGGCGCGAGCTTCTGCTCGGCATGCCGCCACCGTTGGATTCTAACCAGAGTATCGGTGGATTTGCGGCAGGACGATTCTCACGCAGGAGGTCCGGCGTCCTCCAGGGAACGACGGACCGCGATTAGGAGGGTTCCCTCCTCCTTGCCCGAGAAGGCGGCAAGCTCCCACCTCGCAGTGGACGGATCCGAATCGGTCGAACTCTATTGACACGTGAAACTTCAGGGTGTCTGCGTTGTTCGCCTAGAGGAAGAAAGAAGGAAGGAAGGGGGATGGGGTCCGGTTGTGTAGATGCTCACTGCGCGCAAATGCCCGGCAGAGCTAGAGGGCCTCTTTGATTCTTAGGATTTTGACAACGTAGGAATAGGAAAAGTATAGGATTAGAGTGGCATGCCTACTTGAAACCTATAGGATTAGCAATGAGTGTTTGACTGCACAGGAAAAACAAAGGAATTATAAAAAAAGATTGAAGTGGATGTTAGATTTCCAAAGAAATGTAGTACAAAAGATTTTATAGAAATTTTTTTTATGGGATTCAATCCTGTGAATCAAAGAACCAACATAGGAAAAAATCGTAAGGATTTCAATTCTCCAAATTTTTTATAAAATTCCTTTGAATCAAAGGAGCCCAGAACCGTTGAGCTCACGAGCTGCAGTGCAACGGCAGGGGTTGGGATATTGGTGTCAGCAGGGTACAGCCATGCGCACCGCACGGCAGCACGGTGACACGGTCATCATGGTTTCCCCGGCGGTACCACGAGCCTGCCAATAACTGCGTCTCTTTTCATTTGAATCGCAACGGACAGGAGCCATTACTGCCCGGTGAAATTCCCTGCACCGGCGCGCGGTACACCTGCAATTTGCTCCTGCTGTCCGCATCAGGTTGTTCGGCCCTGCCATCGATGATGGGCCGATGATTCCGAGCTAACTGACGCACCTGCACCTGCTGGTCCGATCTGATGGGAGGGAAGAAGAACATGGGATGCCGCGCTGCTGCACGTGTCTCGACAGCGAGTTTCCGGAGTATCGTGATTAGGATGGCCACGAGGGCAGGCAAGCTAGCGCGGCACGCCTCCGTGTCACGTCCCCGGCCAACCACCGGGCCCGTCGGTGCTTCTGCTTTGCCCGGACCGGACCGGAAGGAAGCAGGTGGAATATGCTCCGGACGATTCTAGCTCCGGCCTAACCACGTTCAGCCCATACGAAGCTCGAGAAAAATACTAGTAATCCGAAAATCCATATCTGCACTCTATTTCATAATGTAATGCGCATATGCTTTTTAAAATTTAAATTTGATCATAGAAATGATATCACTGAATTTGTATTTGAAAGAAGTTTTCAACGGTATGATTTTTCAGATACGTAATTTATGTATTATATTGATCTAATTTACAGTCAAGCTTAAATCTCGAAAAACGTGTGCGCACTATATTATGGAATGAAGGGAGTAGTAGTTTACATGATTGATCCGGAAGGTTTCGTAATATACAGACGTTTTGGTTCTGGTTCCACATGACCAAGTGCCATGGTTTATGCATACAGTACAGAGCTTACATACATGGCTCCACTGACATGATGCTGTGGCAACGGGGCCAAAAACACACAGCCTACAGCAGCCGCTGATACCGAGTACTCGAATCCAAGATTGGTACGTACAGACTAGTTCGGTTTGTGCTTACCAGATACAAGAAGCTTTGCTATGTCTGATGCGCATCTCCTTTACTCTGCAAAGTAGCTCAGTTCAGTTCACTCTGAAGATGCGCACAATGGAAGAAAATCATCTACAGATGCGCAAATAGTTCTGCTTTACAAGCCGACCAGGCATCGGTTTATGAAGAGTACAAACTCATTTCTAACATGGTTGTGTAATGAGTCCTCGAAACAGTAAAAAAATAGAAATGTAGTTCTAATGCAGCATCACACCAACACATGGTTAAGTAGATTTTTACATACAAATGCTCTCTACTCACACGGAACGGCACGCGGACGGCTAAAAACCTATGAAGTGAAGATCGCCGGCAGTCTATCGGCCTAGGAGCCTGAGCTCTGAAGCATCGGATCAGTGGCTGCTCTACAAGCGCAACTCCTGGCGATTCTGAAATTCATCTACTGTATGTATATAAACCGCGCGGCGTCGAAAGTAGTGCGCTCTAGTTTACAGGCCTTCGGCTTACCAAGGGCCCGTCAGCGTCCTCCGCAGGCAGATCCTCTTCGACGTCGGTCCAGCTTGCCGGGTAACCTTCTCGAATACCTGCATATACCGTTCAGAAATTACGTTAGGGCGAAAATCATCTCCTGAAGTGTAACGAGGCAATCTCAGAAACGTCATATGACAATGCCTACAGAACAGTGGAGGAGCAGTCACTTCTTTTAACTAGGAACAGCAAAACAAAATGTAATTATGTACCACCAAGTTACGGCAGAAGTTTCACCCTTTTCCCTATGAATGAAACATGATTGTATAGAGTGGAACCTGGATCAAGTGTCTCACAGTCTAAGGCTTTGTACGACCGTTAAGTGGGTCAACATGCACAAAAGAAAACTACGCCCCAAGGAACTTGAAGGTAACGAGAAGCAGGCGAGAGACCATAACCTTTTTCTTGGCTGAGTTTAAAAAAATTCGATGAAAAAAGGAAGACAGAAGGTCCCTGTCCTAAATCAGACAGCCCACACATTTCTCATAATATCACGGAGATAATGATGTGTAACTATTTTTCTTTTCCTTTCAAGAGCGAGCAGCAGGAGCACTGCACATTCTATTAGAAGAAAAGAGAGTTACAAACACATATGTCCACGAGCTTAAAGAATAGCAAGCCAGGCACAGGACCAGCCCCTAACCAAGGTCATCATCGACCACCCTATGGAACGCTAAAGCTCTCACAATCTGGACCAGCCCCAAACTAAAATTTTAATTGATGAAAACTTGGACAATCCGGCAATGAAAGCTGGAAAACGACAGAGTTGTTAACCAGTCCTATAGGGTATCATGATGGAAGTTACTGAAATTTTCCCACAAAAAAGAGAAGAAAAAAGAAATAGCTGAAATTGTTGTTGTTACACATAAGAAACACCATTTCTCATGGGAAATGTTAATAAAGAATGATGACTTTAGATGCGATGTTGGGGGAAATACAATTGAACAGCTCTTTCAATCAGACGAAAACATATATAGTTGACGACACACACATAATCTCTGGTCTAATAACTGCACTTGTATAATTTGTTTACTCCCAACATTTTATCTTGCTAAGCTGGCAATACAGATGAACAAAGTAACACCAAATAGTAGCAATAGTGAAATAAAAAAGTGAATAGAACACAGCTAACCTTACAAATACAACACTTGGGTCAATAGATGGAATATTAGAGCGAAAGTCATTGCAGTTGGCCGATCAATTCAAAGTTTTCTTAAAGCATTTTAAGCCGCTTAAATGTTACCACCTAACCCCTGTTGTAGGAAAATATTATCAATCAAATCCACATCAATCCTTGCCTTATCATTTCTCCAGTTCCCACAGCTTTACTTTGTCAATACGGCATTGTTAAGTCAAGTATACGATAAGAAAACCAGAACTCTACATCTACATCAGTAGCTGTCAATCAGACTAACATTTCCTATTCAAACAAGTGTATCAGTACCACAAGTTTCGAGAACTTGTATTTTCATAATAATATCGTTTGATGAATCAAACCATGCATCATAGAGCTAAACTATATTCATGACATTGACAGGTCGACTGCAATACTTCCTGAATGGGTATCCATGATCATAGGTCAAGACACGTTTTCCTTTATACGAACGAAATATGCTACTAGTCAAACAAAAGGGCGCACATAGGCTGGTCAGTTCTGTTTTCTCTTGATCTTGAATGGTTAAATAAGCAAAAATAGTATCAGTCGAGCAAAAGCAGTTTCTTCAAAATGGTAGGCAATTACCTCATTCTTTTGCCTCTCTAGCATCTCCGCCTGCACATTAGAAGAAATAACCAACTAGTTCAGATAACATGCGTCAAAGATGGTAACAGAACAGTGACAGACTGAACAATGCAAGAACAGAGAAAAAGAGGAAGTAGTCCAATGCGCAGAGTAAAGTGTAGAGGTACTACTAGTTTAGTAATGGAACAATCCATTCCAGATAAGCCATAGTTAGTCTAGGTCTTATATTCATCAGACGAAACAAAAGATCATTTTTTACCATTAGAGGAGCAGAATACTTAGCACTGAAGTAATTTGACAGCTGCCACTGGAACCTATTTTTGTTAACTGCTACCTTGAGTTTTAGTTTTGTGGAAATTCACAACAGAATGTTGAGAGTAAATCATGCAATAAAAAGACCGCTCTTGCTGCATGTAGACTTGTAGTTGAAAACATGCTGTGATTTGTTCTCTCTTTGATTGACTCTGACTTTGTTAAATGCTGCAGGGTGACTAAGACCTATCATTAGAAACTAAATATCCAGATAGTGATCATCCAGATTTTTCTCTGATAAATCGAGGTGATCAACCAGAAGGCGACTACTCACAAATAGAAAGGAATGCTAGAATGCGCGTTGCCGAAGTACAATACAAATACAATTAAACAAGAAGAGTGGCCAGGAGATGTATCATAGTACCTGTTTTCTCTGCAACTCCTCATTCCGCTCTTTAAGTTTTGCCACCTCACTCTCCAATTCCATCATATAACTCTGTTGCATATCAGAAGGCACAGATTTAGCCAATATCGATTATCCAAGAGTTGCAGAAGCTCGACGGCAAGGAGAACCTATTGATGTTAGAAATTGTTCTCGCCAAGATTCAACGTTTTCGAAGACGACGGCTGCAAACACGATCATTCATGTTTGTATCCTTTGTATTTTAGTATGCCGACGTCGATTTTACATAAACTATATATGCACACAAAGAAGGCTCTAATCCTTTGTTCTATTTATAGTACTCCATCTGTAAATAATTACATAAATATTTGTTTACAGAGGGAGTACCCATTTTAGCGCTGCTGTTGTGCCATAAATTGAAGAAAAATTTGGTTAAGAGGAACATATATGATTGCGCAACACGTGTCACCGCTAGTAAGCAAACACATCACGATTTTTTATGTACAGTAACAGGCTAACAGCACGATAGCAATAGAATTTTCACCTGTTTCCTCTGGCGCGACCTCGCCGCAGACTCCCGGTTCTTGATCATCCGCCGCTGCCTCCTCTCGACCACTTTCTCCATGGCCGGTGGCTTCCTCCCCCTCAGCCCGCCGCTAAAAACATACGGCATCGGTGGTGGCGACAGCGAGGACAAGTTGAGGCCTTCCATCTTGCCGTAGCCGTTGGACATGACCGGCCTCCCCGTCGGCGACGGCGAAACCATAGCGGCCGCACCACCACCACCACCTCCTCCTCCCTGGCCGTATGCTCCGGTCATCAACCCATTGGCCAAGGACAGAGGATTCACCATCGGAGCAAACATGTTGCTCTGAGGGAACAGCATCTGTGGCTGCGGAGGCGGCGCCTGGGCCACGGGGGCCGGCGAGACGGGCGGCGGCGGCCCCGGCATGTCCTCGCGCACGACGCCGGCGCGCACGAGGAACTCCTCGAGAGTGACCTCCCCGAGCGTCTGCTGCCTCTGGGCCGGCGGGGGAGCCTCGGCGGCGGCGGAGGCGGAGGCGGAGGCGGAGGGTCCTCCGAAGAACATCATGTCGCGCCAGACCTCGTCGACGGTCTTCTGGCTGAGCGTCCGGGGCAGCGTGAGCGAGCCCTGGCGCTGGATGCCGCCGTGGTCCTGCCCCGCCGCGGCGGAGGAGGAGGCCGCGGCGTTGGGGCCGGCGCCGATGGCCTGCGACTCCTCGGCCGTCCAGATGTTGCGGAGGAGCTCGTCCATGTTCATGGACCCGAAGTCCTTGCCCGGTCCGCCGAGCGCGCTCTGGAACTCGTCGAACGTGAGCGAGTAGACCGACGACCCCTGGCGCGTCAGCGGCAGCGGCGTCATCGGCGGCAGCGGCTGGTGGTGGTGCTGCTGATGCTGGTGCGGCCGCCCGCTCCCTCCCGGAAAATCCATGCCCGATCCCGCCAATCAGCCGAGGCGAATCGAAAAGCGCCGCGAGTCAGAGCCTCACAGGTGTGCGAGCTCCAGCCAGCCAGACAGCGGCCGCGGTACTCGTGATGGGGAGCAGCGGGCGGGCGGGCGAGCGAGCTCGAGCTGCTTTAATCAGCCGGTCGGACGGCGCGGCCGGGCTGGATTAAGTATGGCTGGCAGTGCCAATTTTAGCAAGAGCGGATCCGCTGCCGCTGCCGCTACAAGGAGCGATTGGCGCGCGCGCAGAGAGAGAGAGAGAGGGACAGAGGGATAGAGATCGGAGGTGGGCGAGGTGGAAGGCGGTCGTTGGCCGCGACGGCGAGATGGGTGGTAGGGGAGGACAGGTGTTGGCCTGGCGGGGGCGCTCGGGCCGGTGCGTTTTAAAACGTCGCCCCACGGCGACGAAACCCAAATCTGGATTAGTGCGCGCCGGGTAATAAAGTAGGCCTGCGCCCCCACTGAGCTTTGCCTCGCGCACACGGCCAGATCCCGCGCCTCGTGGCCCCTGTCGCTGCTCGGGATCTCTCGGCCGCCGCG